AAAATTATAATCCTTGTCCTGCATCTTACTTACATTTGACCCAATGATCAAACTTGGACAAAAGCTTCATGGTTCATCAATCATCGGAAACTAGATTTGTATTGTTCTGACAAATCCTTAGCGGTTCCATCAGTGATGAGACTTTCTATCATTTCAAACTTCTTATATGTTGCTTTAAGTGCCCTTTCTTGCTGGTTTGCAAGCTCCTGTTCTTGGTTAATCTGCTGCTGTAATGAGATAAACAGGTTTTGAGAACAAGGCAACAAGGAAATAAAAAACTTGACGATTAAAAAACTTGACTTATTTTTTTCAATCAAAAGTGCTTTAAGAACATTTTAATTGAGAAAATCAAGTATTTGGATGGCCTTTGTGCTAAATACTAGGAAGTTTAAAGTCAGGTAATCATTTCAAAAATAATAATAATTTTAAAGTCAGGTATACGAAAACTTTCCAGCACTATAAGTCTAAAGTCCTTTGGACTTGAAAGTCCTATGCAGCAGCAAAATTAATAAGTAAATGCACAGATTCTCTAGAGTCATTGCGAAACAGAAACATTGTCAAGTAAATAAAAAATTGGAGTATATTCAAAGATTATAAAAACACAAGACTCACTTTCAGCATGAATGAAGTTTCAGCAGTGTGCTTTTGGGCAAGAACTTTCAATCTTTTTGCTACTTCAAAGTCAGGATCACTTGGCTCCAACCAAGTACAGCTTATCTTTCTAACAGGTTTTCTTGGGCGTTCGTTGAACATCTCTTCTTTAGCAGCGCGTGCTCTCACCGGCCTTGGCATCCCACTTATCATGAATGGATACTGGGATAAGGTAGAGATAACTGCTTTAGCTTTCTTTGCATCCTCCATCTCCACCAAAGCACACTGTGGGAGGTTCTTAGGTCCCAAGTAGTTTGGTATGAAGTGGACCCCTTTGACTTTTCCAAACTGCTCCAGAGCAGTTCTCAAGACAGCTTCAGTGACCTGCGGTGAGATATTATCCAAGTACACAGTCCTCTTCACCTTTGCTGCAAATTCAGCAAACTCGCCTTCAACTGAAGCCCCCATTTTTATATTAAAAGGTGCAAATATGACAAAATCCGAGGCAGAAATCGGCTAACTTTTCTTGTAGGTCATTAAAATCAGTGCAAAAGGTAAGTGGGCAGAAGCAATGACTCAATGTCCGGAAAGCATCAGAATTAAAAATCAATAATTCTACTTCAGCAATTTTGAAACATCAACAAGTACAACTTTCACCGAAATGGTCACCCAAGAATGCAATTTCTTATGCTTTATTCATTTGATTAAAGATGACATATTTAGCAAGTGTTTCTATTCCCCCAAAAAAAAAAGACATATAACATTGATTTAAAACTCTTACCAACCTGTTGAAGCTTCTTTCTTTCTATAGAAAAAGAAATATGATTACAAAGAGAAAGAAATAAATACAATTATAAAGAATAAGACATATTCCTCGAATAGTCAAATAAAGGACCTGTTGAAACTTCATGAACCTAGAATTTTAAACATTTTATAGCACTACAACATAGAACCTAATGATAACTCGTTTGCATATTTCCTAAATCATTGTTGAGATTTGTATGTAGTGAAAGCAGGAATAACAGTAGGCACCTAGCCTCAGGAGCTAAGAGATACAATGGTGATGCAATGCGAATTTGACCTAAACTTTCTACATAGCAAAGTATACCTCTTGCTAATCTACAATTTGTTGGAATATTATGAGTATGAGAGGACAATGATGTAATGTTAGGATTTTATTTATACTTCAAGTCTTTTAAGTTTTCCATAGATAGCTTAGGATTAAAGAATCCCAGGTGTGATTCCAAGTTAGTTTAATGCTATTTTCATTGCATTTCTTAGATGTAATATCTAAGAATCCCCATATTTAACCCAATTCTTCAGTTCAAAAAATTAATTCTAGTTGGTCCTACACCAAAAAGTTGTCAAAAGAATGACAGAGAGGCTCCCCAAAATGTCCGAAATTTAAAGTTGCCAATTCCATGCACCTAAAACATGCATAGCTCTTTAAATAGAAATTGGGTTCAAGAAATAATACAGGATTGAAAGGTGGTCCAAGGCAACCACTAGTGGTATAGGGTTTTAACTAAGGGTAAGAAAATTCACCCCAATGAGTTTGGAAATAAAGCTAAAACAGAGAAAAAAGTAACATAATATTAAGAAAAAAAAAAAAAGAAAAAGAAAAAAACAAAGGCAGTACCAATCAAGAACAAGGCTTTGTGGCCTGTCCTATGTATGTGCACTACGTCTTTTGATCTAACAGCCTTCTGCCTCCCATTTTAAACCCTCATCACCAAGTTAAGCATCAAAATGAGCATCAAACTAGGCATGTTTTCCCTGCTAAAACCACAACCAGATTTCAATAGCAACTAACAACCTATTTTGTTCACTTTTGCACTTTCAAATAACCTCAAATATCACAGCTAAAGAAAGTGCAATCAAAGCAAAGAGATGAACATAAGTATATTCTTCAAGCAATGTCAAACAGTCCCAAACCTTAAAATCAGTATCAAGCATTTTAAAGCATGAGCTGAAGCTATTTAGGAATGTTGTATGGGAAAATAGCAATGAAGACAACACTACATCATATCCAAAGCAAGAATGGAATAACCTCAAGAAGCAACAGTTGCATCACATCCACAAAGTAAATAACCCAACAGCTAAAATAATTAAACAGATTCTAATGGCCTATCCATCTACATTCACATCTTTAATTAATCAAAAACCTTTCACATTAGCTAAGAAAGGAAATTAGTAAAAGACTGGATATGTTTTCATTTATAAAAAACTTCTGGTAGGTCTCCCCAAAGGAAGAAGATTTAGGCATCCAAGATTTGAGAAATGTTTTCATTTACAAAAACAAGGAAAGAACAAAAAATGGAAATCAAAACCCAGAAAACAGGGATGGTTTTTCTGTTAACATGAAAACACCATGATAAGAACCTTCTTTTAGCCTCTAACCAGCGTATTCATTTACACCTTTGGGTTGCCTGGGCTGGGTGGTAGCCTCTAAAATGTAACAAGGCTGTAAAGGAACAGAAAGGGGGAAAAAATTTATCTTTGAGCCAAGCAACAAAAAACTGAATAGAGAACCAAACAGAAAACTAGAATAAATCTTTCTTGGGACTTTATGCAAACATGTTGAATATGTGCCAAAATGAAGGAAAACATGTTTATTTCACTATTAAGCCCTAGCTTAACCCATACAAAACTTAACCTGTTCTAAAGCTAATTACCTAGCATCATGTAAGAACATAAGGACCAAAAACTACGGGTTTGTACGAGGAAATAAAAACGCATGTACATCAGGCCATCAACCACGTCGAAAAACAGTTTTTTAAATAATCAACAATAAGGCTACAATTTTTCCGAAGTTAATGGGAAAATCTGTGCTATCTAAACAAGTCTACAGTACAAATAACTAAGGAAAGTACATGCAAATTATTGCCATTCTCATACTTCTGCAGTGAAACTGAAACAAAACATGAAATTAATGGGCACATGGAACAGAAAAAGGAGAAAGTACGCAGCAAAATCATAGATTCCAAACTCAACATGTGATGGGTACAAGAAATGTAGCAGGAAGAAGAAAAGGCGAGATTAATACCACGCTTGAACCCTTTTTGGTTTCCCTCAAGTTGGCCAAAACTCAGCCCTTTCCCAGAACCCTATAACCACTCTTTCTCTCTGATTTTCCTCACTTTCTATCCTCCTCTTCTGCCTATTTCCGGAATCCTAAAACTCTCCTTCCCTGTATATCTCCTCTTTCGTTCTCTCTATTAAGGTCCCTTTTCCTCTCCAATCCTCTCTGTTCTCTCAAATCCTAAAATCCTTTCCAAATCCTTTCCTCCCTTTTGAAGCCCAGGGCTCTCTTTCTGTGTCGCGATTTACCCCAGCCAGCCTCTAAGCAAGAAAGGGTATCTTTTTCCCTGCTTGTATCCAGACATGCGTACTAGTCACCATTCTCTCTCATCGCACGCTTCCTTCCATACTAAACGAGAAAGTGGTGTTTTTTGGGCTGCGCTTAAGCTGGGCTCCATGGATTAAACTTGTACTTGATTGGATTCTTAGTTTTTTTACCCATCTCAAAGAGACTAATAATAAAAGACTAATTTGAAGAGACTAATAATAAAAAACTAACTTTCCAACATGAAAAAGAGTATAGATAATCATTGGATCAAAGGTAATTGATTAGTTCAAGATTAATTATGGACTTCATTTTTTTCATAGATGAAGATCAGGTCGAGTTCTTTAATTCGCTAAGGCTACGTTAATTAATAAAGTCTAACTATTATAAAATATTCTTTATATCTGAATATATAATGACATTCTAAAACGAGATTCAATTTAGTCATTGTAGTTTGATCAACACACATTAATGAATTAAATTTTTAGTTTATTATAGATTGACTATTAATAAGTCATAATATACCCACAAATTGACAATTTTTATATTCTAAATGAAATTCAAACTCGTAATTTTTAAGTAAAGTAACAAAATTTTAACTATTAGATATGTTATTGATAAGTATAAAATTCATTTAGTAGTTTATGTTGAAGGGTCTAAAATAACAGAACATAACTTA